TTAGAATTGAAACCAAACTGGTGATAATTAAGTGGGTTAACGGAAAGGCGTGATCGTTTCATTAAGATATTTTTCTATCATTATTTAAAAGTTAGGGAATTTGCTGGTTACAAAAGTTTTCAACATGTGTTCCTTGAGGTCTGAGTTGAAAAGAAAGTTGCATCACTTGTATGAAAAACTTATAAGTAGTATCAGGATGGGAGAACGTTATGCTTGAAATTGCTTGAAAATACAATTGATAGATTTCTCGTCCTGGACGAATGCATTTCTAATCAGCTGACCATGTCGCATAAACTAGTCACGCCGTGAATTGCTGATGTGTAAAATTAAACCTTATTTTCAACGTATCACCTTTTTATCATTCGTGGGGCCATCTACTGGCGATGTCTACATAATCAATAACTAATACTAATAAATTTTAGAGCTTCACCTTTTATAGCGCCTTACAGTTAATCGCTTTCAGTGGTTGTATACTTCCCTGAGTATATTTATTGACACTGCAATGTAAACCAACCAGCACTGTTACTTCACACTAAAGACACCTCTGAAGCCGCAGCATCGCATACAATTATAAACGCATCGTTGATCCGTTCCTTGTTCTCATGATGAACGCTAGAAAGCGACGAAGAACTTCTCGTCATTCCGAGCAATACTCGAGAACTTGCGTTTACGGCGGCCCTTGGTTGTTGTCTATTTAGCCTTTTTATCTCTCGTATAAAATCAGTGAAATATGTCACATTAAAATTTATTATTTGAATTTTCAATCGCCTGTTATTCGTGTCTTTAGGATAACTTCGTCCGCTTTGTTTAGTTGTGTTTCACACCTATGCCTATAATTTTTCAACCTTTGATTCGAAACAATCAATAAGCATTAAAAAATCTGTTTAACTTGATGAGTCGGTTTTTTGAGAGACGAAAAAAGTATTGCTTGGGATTACATATATCTTTTGTGACTTAACTTGGACACTCAGCTACACTCAGCCAGGTGTCCAGTTCATTTAAATACACCCAGTTTTTACGCGCGTATTTGGTAGACCGGTTGTGCACTATTGTGTTGTCCTGCATGTGAATATCCTCACCAGCGCTTATCTTTAACACTAATAAATCAACCCCATAAATGGTCCTAACCTCAAGTCCAAACCTAAAATGGAATAATTGCTGTTACTCAAATGGGCTAATCAATGGTTTAATCTAATAGGTACAATTCTCTAATCTATAAAAAGAAGTTAAGTATGAAACTTAAGTTCAAGAATGATCAAATCCGACCGGTAAACGAGCACAAAATAATGTCATGTTTTGTGGATGCATAATTATTCTATAATTTTTTTCTGTAATGGCAAGTCTAAATTTTTCCATTTTAAGAATGCAGTCATATGTTCAACACTCCAAATTTTCTTTGGTTACTTCGATGATTTCACGGATTATCGAAGCGTTTTCCGTTTGAGATAAAGAAAACTCATTTGGCACAGTGTCTGTTCGGTTATACTTTAATCGTTCCTAAATTGTCCTTCTTTCCCTGTTGTTTGTGTTCTTAAATGTCTTTCCCATGGCTGGCAGGCAAGTTTTGGGACATCAAGATTCCGATCAATATTGATTGTATCATTGCGCTTATTTGTTGAAATAACCTAGTTACTTCATGCAATTAGAGCTCAGTTCCCAAGTTAGGAAGTAGGTCAAGCCAATTGATTCGTCGTATAAGTAAAGTTGGTTCAGTAGTTCACAGCTTCGAATTAGTCAAGTAAGAAGGCTGTTAGAAGCGTCTTCCATGCACAGTAAGATGAACCGTTTTGACGGCGCGGTTTTAGTCATGCAGTTTTCCGCTTTACTGCCGCATTTGACGTTCCTTTCAGAGGTCTTTGAAGCTCGCATGTCCAAGGGGTGCCAAGCGAACACAATTTAGCGCCTTCCCGACAGCCTGAACTGAATTATTTTGGACCATGACAAGCGATCTCTGGTGCTCTGTTCTCCCGCACATCGCGGAACTGTCGAACTTTTGAGAAGGTCTGACGTTGCTGAGAACTTTTCTTACTCAATCCAGTCACGCTATGGTGTCACGTTGCCGTGCGCAGTATTCGGGTGTGAATACGGCGCTCTCTCCTCCTCAGTGTCATTTGTTTGATACTCACAAAAGATGAGGAGTTGAAGTGATTGATGGAATTTTTCATTTAAGTCCTGCCATCATTTAAATCCTATTCGACTGATCGTCGTACACGCTTCAGTCTAATTTTCGTTAATCCTGAAAACAAGTTTGTCGAGATTACTGTCCCTTGACAATTGCAGCCTCATTTTGCAGCGTATTATATTATCGATACAATCTAATCGATACCTCAATCTCTATCATGGATACAATAATTCTAGTTTACTCAGGCAACTTTTCTCGAATCTTGGCAACACTCGTACTAGTTCCAGCAACATAATGTACGGTAAATTTCATTCACTTCATGTGGATGTAGTGAATGAAATGAGTCAGTAGTATGTAGTATGAGTCAGTAGTAGAACGGCCTAGTATTTTACTAGGCCGTTCTGAGTGACAAATTTCTCTTTCGATGAGTAGCCGAATTAATGACCTCATTTGTTCTTTTAATTTCAATTTCATTTTTGAGTGTGTAAAATACTAATGTTCATGTTGCGGCTAGACATTGAAGAGTGTCAATTTAAATGAATTAACATGAGGCTCATGTGTGCGCAGCTGCAGCTGCTACAGTATACAGGTCACTCACCTGTACAAGCGCACCTGCAAGTCTCGGCTTCAATCCTCTTAGATGCTATAACTTCAATCATTGAAGTAAGTAAGGTGAGGAAAATTCATTTTCCTCTTTGCCTTATATGTGGCAAACCAGAGATTTTTTTAGAATCAGTTCATTTTATGCTATTATTTCAATCATTGAAGTAAGTAAGGTGAGGAAAGTTCCTTTTTCTGTTTGCCTTATAGTGGCAAACCAGAGATTTTTTTTTAGAATCAGTTCATTTTTAAGTCCCTCGTATACTCAAGATTTCAACCAATATCTTATGTATGATAATGCTGGTATGATAGTATCCATGATACTTTGCTGGTCTACTCATAGTCGTAGGACTCAAAAATTAACTTGAGCCGGAGTAAGAGTCTTAAAAACTATCTTCTTTGCTACTAAGCAGTTTTATGTATTGCATGATGAACGATTTCCTTCGAAATTGAGGCTTTGAAGGTATCAAAGCATTGACACCCTGTCCNAAATGTAGAGCCGCTGCCGCTACCGCTACTGAAAATGTAGCGGCCGCTACATGTAGCGCGCTACTGCCCACCTCTGGCTATCGGTTTCGTTACGGTGGATTTTTATGCGAATGGAATACGTATTATTATCCACACGACCGCTGTAGGGTTAACGTTAAACGTAGAATTGCTATTCCGGTTGTCTATATACATTCCGATACTTGTCACCTAACCACTTGAAGTCTTTCAGCTTATCTGGTGCATTTGAATTTCATTTCACGTAAACTCACATCCTCATTTAACTTTTTTAAACAAATTTATATGAAATTCTTTAAATTTGTATCAATTATTGATGAATTCAGTGATCCAATAGGTAACAGCGTTTGATTAACATGGTTTGGTGTTAGTGTAGCCTGGTCATTATAAATTCAGTATTCCGCTGCACCTTAATATTTTTACATTGTATATAAATATTCATGTAATTTTCAAATTCTGATCGGGCGCGAATTCGTAATATGAATTTAGAAGCGGAAGACAATTCTCAATATTATTGGAACTTCACTTTTGCCTTAACAGACGGCCATTGTTATGAGAAAATGTGGAGGTCGTGTGAGAAAATTAAGCCCGAAAAAAATCGCATATTTATAGTTTAAATTTAAATGTATTTTTTTCATAATGGGAGCATAATTCGAACAAAAGATTGCAGTGGATTTTGAAAGTGATTTTAGTTTTAACACTGAATATGACGGTCTAAATTTGTAGTTATCGACGACACAGCAATTACTTCCTGAATCGTACCACGGCTTGTTTCCTTAACTCCACCTAATATGTTGATATTAAAATAATTTGTAAAATATTTTTTGCCGTTGATTGTCGTCTTGAATGTGTCGTCCTTATTTTTGGTTTAAATCGTTAATGACATCTGTCCGTAAATAATATTTAAACCAATAATATCGAATAAATCAGGTATATATATATTGACTCAATGCGCGTTGGAAAGGTTTGCATTTGCTCAACTTATCCCTGCAAATTTTTTCTCACCGTCCAGAAGATTGTTGTCCAAATATCAAGGCCGGGATTGTATTGTGACGCTGATACTGAATGAAGTCTAGAATTTCAGCGACGATTTTGTCTTTCAAATTAGCATCTAACCTCAACAAGATGATGCAGTGCAATTCCTGCTCTCCCATTTTACTGCAACCGTGGGAACTTGTCGAGACTCTGGTGTAAACTGAACTATTTACTTTAAATTAGGGCTTTGGTCTTGTTGGTCAAAGCCTCGAGGCTCTCCATGTTGTTCACATCCACTACTTCTGTTGAAACATCTATTTTGGACTCTGCACACTTCTTGGCATATTCTATGCATGGTGGCTTTAAGCTGCGTAATGTCTCGACCTGCAGGACATAACCTTGTTCCCACATTATTGCCCTCGGTGATGTTTCCAAGTGCCTGGAATAATAAAATAATAATAAAATTTTTTATTTTTTTCTTATGTGGGATTGGGAAAAACAGCTACGGCTGTTTTTGTGTTCTGTGGGATTGTGTGCTCCTGGAGATTATAGCCGCTCCAAATTAAGTTGTCTCCTGCAATGATTAAAATCGTTCTAAGACTAATTTAATCTTACGAAATTCAGCCCTGCTTCCTACTGTCAACGCATATTCCCTTATGTTATTTCTCAGTCTTTCTGTGTGAGCAATTCATGTTACTCCTCAATATTTCTGTACATATAATTTCTTTCATTTCTCAAGTGATTTTATGCATGCAATTCACGAACTTAATGTAATGTAATTTTGGTTTGTCTCCAGAGAGAACTCCGTCGCCGCATGAACGTCAATGGATTCACATGAACCAGCCCACGACGTCCAAACCCGTCTGTGAGTATCCTGCGAACGAGTTACACGTTCATCCCTGGGTGTATTCTTACCCTAGGCTTATTATATGAATGAAGTACATGTCAATGATATTCGCTGCCGGATATCCGTGATAATTATGTGCTCAGAGAATTTATTGACAATTGTCTTATAAATTGCGTTGCACTTTTGCACCTTTTTGGATTAACCTTACCCAGTTTAGCCCTGTAAAGAGTAGTATCAGTTCTACGTCTCTCTCTGCTTGTGTAGTGAGTAAGAACGTACATTATTTGTACCAAGACGTATTGAATTTACCGAGCGTGTGAACGGTTCAGTTGATATGTTTTTCCAAGTCTATTCTTGCATTACAGGTCAGTTCAGCGTGATGTGCTACAACGTACTGTGCTCCAAGCTTGCCACCCGACAAATGTACGGCTACTGTCCGCCCTGGGCACTAGAGTGGGAGTACAGAAAAAAAGGAATCATGACTGAAATACGCAAATACGACTCCGATATCATCGCGCTCCAGGTTGGTGTAACTCTCACTTGAACGTGGCTTTTCATCCTTGTGATGTTCTCATTTGGAATAAAGCTTATGATATCGCGATTCTGTTTGGTGATGTTCTCATTTGGAATTTGTTTATGATCCCGATATCATTGAGCTCCATGAGTTCTCATTTGAACGTAACTGATCATCAAGCATTATTGATAGAAGAAGTACTACCTATAATTGAAGGAGGTAATTTACTCCAGTAATGTTATAAATTTTTAATTTACAAGCTATAACGTTGAACACTCTTCTGAAACCACTATGTTCTTTAAATTCGTGTTTTGAAACCACTATGCCCTTCAAATTCCTGTTCTGAAACCACTATGTCTTCCAAATTCATCTTCTGAAACCACGAAGTGTGAAGTAGTTAATCAATCCAAAACGAAGCCATCCAATTTAGAACCTAACATATGCGTTATTTCCTGTGATACAGGAAGTAAAGGCGGATGCGTTCCACTTTAAATTCATGTTCTGAAATAACTGGGTTTGAACTAACAAACAAGTTAATCGATCCAAAACGAAGCCATCCAATTTAACACCTAACGTATATGTTGTTATCTACAGGAAGTAGAGACGGATGCGTTCCACAATTTCTTCATGCCGGAGCTGAAGAAGTTAGGCTANTCTGTCTGTCTGTCTGTCCATCTGTCTGTCCGTCTGTCCGTGACCTCAAGTTTTCGTCGACGAGAAAATGCGCTCTCTGTCACTCACTGCAGTGAGTACTGAGTTATATTTTTTTAGCCTACATCTACTTTTTCAGTCTACATCTACTTTTTTTCATCCTACATCTACTTTTTTTCATCCTACATCTACTTTTTCAGCCTACATCTACTTTTTTTGGCTACTTGCGCATTTTTCTTCTAGCGTACCATATAGCTTGATTATAAAATCTAATTCCCCGTTCCAAGTAACGAATCTCCACCATTCATGCCAGGTTCATGCTTCTGAAGTTATACCTAATAAAAACCCCTTCATAACCTAATCGAGTTAAGAAAAGAAAGAGCACCTAATCCCATGTCTAACCACGACATGGCTAACAAGTCATACTCAAAAGAGTATAATTTTGCATCATTTTTACCAGGTTCACGCTACTGAAGGAGCACCTAATCGAGTTCAACCAGCTCGCCATGGCTAACCACGACGGCTCTGAAGACATGCTCAACAGAGTCATGCCTAAAGACAACATCGGCCTGGCTGCGCTGCTGCAGACCAAGCCTGCCGCATGGCATGAGCACTGTGAGAATTACACTACATGCAGTTTATGTTTAGTGAACGTCGTACTGTGAGTCTTACACTACATACAGTTTATGTTTAGTGAACGTCGTACTGTGAGTCTTACACTACATACAGTTTATGTTTAGTGAACGTCGTACATTCGTTTTGTGTTCCCTAAAATTTACATTGTACGTTTCTTAAAATGTATACGCACAATTCTAGAAGCCCTCTATTACCGTAATTGCATGAGCACTGTGAGTCTTACACTTCCTACTGTTTATGTTTAGTGATCGTCGTACATTGAGTCTTATAGTAATAATCGTACTGTGAGTCTTACACTAAATACAGTTTATGTCTAGTGAACGTCGCACATTTGGTCTTGTGCTAATAAGTCGTACTGTGAGTCTTGCACTACCTACAGTTTATGTTTAGTGAACGTGGTACATAGAGTCTTATACTAATAAGTCGTACTGTGAGTCTTACACTACCTACAGTTTATGTTTAGTGAACGTCGTACACTGAGTCTTGTACTGATAAGTCGTACTGTGAGTCTTACACTACACACAATTTATGTTTAGTGAACATCGTACATTCGTCGTGCGTTTCCTAGACTTTACATCGTACGTTTCTTAAAATTTATAGGCACAATTCTTGAAACCCTCTATTATCGTAATTGCACGAGTACTGTGCACATACATACAATTTATTTTTAGTGAACGTCGTACATTCGTTGTGTGTTTCCTAGAATTAACATCGTACGTTTCCTGAAATTTATACTAACAATACTAGAAACCCACTATCATCTCAGGAACATATTTAATCAAATATGAAATTATTTTCAATCATAAACTGAGGAAGTCGAGGAAAGTTGCTTCTTTCATAATCATTTTTGCCTATATCTAACGTTAGTAATTGCATCCATTACTGGTTACCGTGTTGAAGACCATCAATCATTGCCGTGTCGCAGACCATAACTTTCTTCCTTGTTACAGACCATAACTCGATGCCGTGTTACAGACCATAACTTTCTTCCTTGTTACAGAGCATAACTTTCTTCATTGTTACAGACCATAACTTTCTTCCTTGTTACAGACCACAACTTCCTCCGTTGTTACAGACTCGTTGCCGTGTCGCAGACCATAACTTCATTCCTTGTTACAGACCATAACTTTCTCCGTTATTACAGACCATCATGCTGATGACGGAAGTACGGAAGATAGTGCAGAGTTTCAACGCCGGTGAGGAGGCCGGCGGCAGAAGACCTCACCACAGAGGGCAGGACCACAACAACGGCGTCCACCTACTCCTCTGTGGCGACCTCAACTCCCTGCCTGAGTCAGGTTTGTTATTGCCCGTTGCACAAGTCAGATCTATTAATTTATTACCCTTGCCAGAGTCAAGTCTGTCACTCCACATGTCAATGAATGATTGGGCGTCATGTAAGTTTGTTTCTCACGGAAAAATTTACTGGAAGCTCCGACATTTCATATCTAAGTAGAAATGATGCCTTAATCTGAAGTGCAAAATAAGTATTAATGGGTCTGCAACAAGTGGTTCACAGTAAACTTTGTTGTAGGACACTTCGATTCTGCTTACATTCCAACGATGAACTTGTAATTGTCTTGCAAGCCTTCTGTAGCTATGGGTACTTTCAATGTTTGTATATCTGGAATTTGTTTCATATTCGGTTTGTTCTTATTGGAAAAATATCACTGTCTTATTTTGTTGTATGAATGTCAATTGAATGTAAATAACTTGATTTTGAGCCGTTCCTTCTGTCGAATTCTGCTCAGTCAGTTCCTTTCTGCTCAGTCAGTTCCTTTCTGCTCAGTCACTTCCTTTCTGCTCAGTCACTTCCTTTCTACTCAGTCACTTCCTTTCTGCTCAGTCAGTTCCTTTCTGCTCGGTAAGTTCCATTCTGCTCAGTCGGTTACTCTCTGCTTAACATGATGGAAAGACATAGTGGTTTCAGCCGGTTTCTCATGTTATCTCATGGTTCAGCGTCGCGAGTTTTTAGGTTAGTTTCGACAAACCCAGTTGTATACGTTACTCAACTTCACTATAAAATTTACTACTACATACACTACCTACAGTCACTACCACATAGTCACTACGACATAGTCACTTTACTATGAAATTTAAAGGGAAGAGTTCAACTGGTATTTTTTCCGAGCTTTCTTTTAAACGGAGCCGTAACTCGTTATGTTTTAATTTGAAAATTAGGAACGGTTTTATGAACTGTAGCAACACTTTTAGATAATATTGATAAATTTAATTACGTGCTGAAGCATTTTAGCTGAAATTTGCCAAGTATTCTAATGAGAAATATGCATATTTGCTAGATCTTTCAACTAGCTCGGTTCTTTCTCTGCTCTATAAAACTGGTGACAGTAAAAGCCACTTTTCTAATCGAGCGTTCGCGTTTGCATTGAATTTGCTGTGCCGGCGTGTGTGTTTGCAATCAACTTAGTATCCTCGTTAACACTTCCAAATGCTGGGCAGATCACTTCCCTCTAGTGGTGCAGATGGAGCTTCGCCCTATGACACCTCCCTCGCTGCTGGGGTCCAACGCAGGGAGTGGGGGACTGGGGATGCACCAGCAGACCTCCCAGCACGGAGCCCACACCACCCACTTCCCCGGCACCATGACGGCCATAAACGCTACGCCGCACCACCACAAGAACAACGGCAACATACATCGGTAGTGACACGAGGCACTACACTTGATTGTGTCGCCTCGTCCTGACACTTCCGTGTACGAGTCTGGACATCGTCATCATTCATAGTTCTGTCAATGATAATCACGCAGTTATTGAGGGGTTATCACACGCAGTCTGCGATTGCGATTACCGCACGCAGTCTGAAAGATTGCCACACACAGTCTGTGAGTGATTACCGCACGGAGTCTGTCAGCGATGATCACACTCAGTATTGAATGCTTTTCGTTTGCATTTCAGGGAGTGATTATCGCCAGCATGTCAGTGAGTGATTATCACCTGCAGTTCAGTGAATGTTGATGACATGTTCGTCTGGGAGGCGGTATGATGTGTAGGACCGAAATGAGCTTCTCGAATGTAATTTAGAGCCTACATCTCTAGCTTCTGTTTCCGGTAATCAAAGGCTGGGGCGTGGCTCTGAATTTCTTTCGTATTCAGGCTTCATCTGATGTTGATCTGATGCAACTACAGGAATGCAAGGATGTTCATGTCTTTCTGCTATATTCTGATGCTCCTATGTTAGCGGCATCATTGCGTATTGATGCTACTCTTCGAGCGTCAACATTACACAGTAATGATACTATTTGAGCGTCATCATTACATAGTGACACTATTCGAACCGTGATGTTTGCAATCAACCATGACTTGATGGATATATCCTACCCGTTCTGCTGCGCTGTATCAATGATTACCTGATGATGGAGAAGTGAGGCGACAGCTCTTCCGTGTATTTTTGTTGCTCTCACGTCTGTTTGCGTGTAGGGTTACCATCGTTTTGTATTGGCTTGATCGATCTGCAACTCAGTTATTCCTTAATTAATATTTAGCTTACAATTGGAGTAAGTCCCAAGACAATTTTTGCCCGAGCTCTTTAAGGTTATGCAGTCACTGGCAAGGCTTTCAAGTCAAATTTCTTAACCAAATTTCCGTGGACTAAGAATGGTTCATGCGCCAAGCTCGGCAGTTGCATTTGTGCTTTTTCTACTGTATAAAATAGGAACAATATACGTGGTCTATTGTGAATTTTTCATCAATTCGGCAAGAATTATCAATTGTTGTAGACATGATAGAAAACATGAATTAATATTGTCGTCATGTACATTTGTTGAGATTTCATCATAATTTTTGCAAATTAATCTCTTTCTTGCTGAGTGAACACGCAGGCTCGGTGTTGAATGCGGAAGCATTCAAGTAAAAATTGACTGCACAAAGTTACGTCTATGTCTTCGACATTAATGATGCAAATAACCATGTGATTAACGAGTGTTTATTGTACAGGTCCTGTCCAAATGGTGTGCTAGACATTAACAGAAATATTGTCTGGATTGGTTATTGAATCTTTGTATGCACTCCATGAGCTAGAACTCTGAGTATATATTGTAAAAATGTCAAATGGAGGCGAAATTGTTTCGAAAGCGCGTTTGATGTGTTCAACACGGAAAATCTGAATCTAGTGGGGCTGGAAATGAATGAAATTGAGAAGGCATTACTCAACATGTACACTTGTGTAGATAATGAGTGGGGTGAACAGCGGAGGATGTAAGTCTTGCAAGACTGTGCTGCTCTGGCTGAGCTGTAATGTACAAGCTTTGTAAGTTTACCTGCTGCTATTTCCGTTGGTTTATTTGTTATTGCGCGCACGGGTAGGCTTTTAGACTGCCCTGTAAATATTTATTGCTCCAGCTAGGTCACTCGGTGGGGAGAATGACGTATAGACTGTTAACTTAGATCACCTCGAGGATGTTAGTATCTCGTCGTTGAAGCTTCGCATCAAATGTCAGACACAGGCAGCATTTGGTGCGAGGGTTTATACCAGTAAGTATTTTCAACTCCACTTTAATGGCACTCCAGCTTGTAATCACTTTTATCAGAAGTTAGGGAAGCCCTGAATTTTGTAAAGGCAGCGTACATTGCCGCGCGGTAGTTACGTATATCAAATTCAGGTTCAGTGAGCGTTGTTGAAAAAATTTCACGGCCGTGGATTAGCTAAGCTGGGTCTTGCAGCTTCTCGTATTGCCCGTCGTTTTCAGATCCACTGCACTGAATTGTAATGAAATGAGTCACTCTAGGGCATAATGTCTAGCTGTTCCGTCTAGCGTGTAAATAGTTCGTTTTGCAGTTTTTTGGTGCAGTGTAGCTAAGTATAAAAACGTTCCACATAGCAACCGCGCCTTGATGTGGCTCCTTCCCACTGTCATGATCATTGCCCTTCAGCTTTCTGTAAGCTTTTTTTTTGAAGCTGGTTCTGCACAACGAAAAATGTGATCAAAATACCTGTGTCAGCAGGCACAGTTTCTATCCCACGTTTTATTTCGAAGCCCAAGCTTCTATGAGAAACAGACATTACCGATTGGAATTTATTTTCGATGCTATGCCACTGCACTGTGGAATCAAAATTACACCAATAGTCTGTTTCAAGATTTATTTTACTCATAATAATTGGTTGCTAGTTCTCTGTCCACTGCTACTATACCTGATTGGTTTGAACTTGAGAATGATGCCTGCCACAGCATAGTACACGTAGCTCATAGTAGTACATTGAAGTACGTGTACGCTTAGTACACGTAGATCATAGATATTTGTCGCATAAGAACTTGCTTTGTATTAGTGGTAAGACGTCTGGTTAGCTCAACATTGGGAGCTTCGTGCATTGTATCAGTCCACCCTCTAATACTTCATTCGTGCAGAAAGAATTCGTAAATTCAAAGGTCGTTTATTTTTTTGGCAAACATTGGTCATTATTGAGCAATGTTTAGGGCAGTGTGACTGCTGAATTCGTGATGCATTTGTTAAGGTTAATCAACTGGGACCGCTTTTATCATTCCATTGGCTTTATGTTGAGCTAGCCAAGGCTTAGGAACGATTGACATCGTTTCGAGCGGGAGCTTAACAAGTACAATTCGTGTGTAGGAATAACATGTCTTCGCAACGTAGCCCTTTGTTTTTATGACGTTGAGCATAATTACTTTTTCGCGTACTACCGATTGATTTTTTCTGGTGTTAGCAGTGGTGAAACCTTGAATATTAAAGATATTTCTATAGGGTTGTTTTGGTTCTGGCTATGGGTTAAATTTTGAAGTTTGGTTGGCGGTATTCCTGTAGCTGTGCGGTGAAAAGCTGAAAGCTTCTATGTCGGGGATAATATTGAATGCATTGTGTGCTTCGCGACCATGCTTTGCGTACTGCTCCGTTTGCTGCATTGTGTTCGACTTCTTACCGTTCACCAACCTGCGCTCAATCTGCTTAATTTACCATTTATATCTTATGCTTTGATTTCAAGAAAAAGTTCTCGCATTTCTTGCATCTTACATGAGGATTCATGTAGGTCCACAAGTTTGTAATTTTTATTACTACCACCGCAGGCCGATAAAATTCAAAAATCCAGTTAAAATTTCCTTTTTAACTAACTTAATCATAGACCGCTTTCCACACGCGAGTCTAAATTTCCTCCGTCATACCTTCAGCCATGCGCGTGAGAATACGCTTCAAAACGACTAATAATCATCAGCTAACACGGTTACTTATATTCTTTTTCATACTCATGGATGGAAAGTGAAAATCTTAGTGTAAGATCTATATCAGGAAATAAATGCGTGTAACTTGTTGATCTAGACCGGTCACTGTAACTATGTAAAAGTTGCGTCGTGTACCGCCTCAGGATTCAGTGGCTATTTCTTCAGCGTCGTTCATTAATGAAATCAACTCTACCAAACACGTGGCCGCTACCAAATGCTGTAAGAAAATTTGCTGCATATCGCCTCTTATTTCGGGGAGACATTCTGGTATCGCGAATTGCTTATTTTTTCCAAGTAAAATGTGTTTAGCTTGCGCCGTGACACTAGATGTCAGTGTTCACCAGCTCGTACAGTGACAGTCGAGCTCGGCATAGAATTGAAAGGATATAATAACTGACAATTCACTTTTGTACCCACCGTTTGCTGAATGCTTGGAAACTCATCTGTGTTCTTGGATGATCTCTTCTTGTGTTGACCTCTTTCAAGCTGCTTGTAATAACGCTTGTGTCTCTTGAACTCGGTTTGCATTTCATTTCATGCATTCATTTGTCCGCTCGTCATCCTCCGAGTTTAGCGTGTGTCTTTTTCGTATGATATTAAAACGGCGTTTCAAGGCTTATGACAACTTCCCTAAAACTGCCTTATATTTTGCTTCAAAACACTTGTTATGAAAATGATTTCAGCTGGAATCAGCTCATATGCCCCAGTGTTTTGATCTATTCGCCGATTTTTTTTCTCATCAGTATCCACTGCCTACGTTTTTGGTGTCAATGCCTGCTGGCGCATTTTTTTGCTTTTGCCAGTGACTGCTGGTAACCTTTGCCGGGATTTATTTTAACCTGTACTACGGGTAGCCACGACTGTTCTATCATGCCAGAACCCTCTTAAGTTGATTCATGCTATGAAACATCCAAGGCAATGGCATACTAATAGGTATTGTCACGTTGATATTCGGGTATTTGTTGTAGTATCGTTCAAACATATCGAGGTTACTCCTGGCAAGCTTTTTTAAAGGCACTTTTTGGCAGCTCTCGGCGTTCGTTGCTCTGAAGCTCTGTGTGTTGGTGCTGATGTTGGACTGTTTCGTTGATCTCGGTGTCCATTATTTTTGCAGAAAATTATGTTCCATTCGGGATGAAAAATACAGAATTGGGATCAATTTGGGACCCACGAAAAAAATTAACTCTATAGTATATCATCACATGTTTGTTTATCACTTACTACGGTCTCGCAGTCGATGTGAATATCATTCTGCACTCATATATTTGCAACGTTCTGACCCGGATGATGACTCTTTTTTTTTTTTGCGGATAATTCTCGTGTACAATTTCGTGACTGAAAAGAGCACGTGGTTTTTGTGTTTCAAATTCACAGATTCTGTCATTGAATTATGTTCGCTGCTTCTAGATTAATGGCGCTTCTCTTTGTATTATTTGCATTTCTAGCACCAGTCACCATCGATTTCTTTTTTTAACTTTTTAGTGTTCTTTGGTGTGGTGGTAAAAGTGGCACTGTGGGCGAATTAATTTTATGGGTTTGAGCAATAAAAACTGTCCATTATCTTAGAGTCTTAACGAACAAATTCATGTGCTGAGGCTGCGTATCCTGTAGATTATTTTAAAAGTGTATTATTGAAATAACTAGATGCATGCTTTGTATTTTCCTATGAATAGATTCCTGTATGACTTTGGCTGCTCTATTGAATGAATTGAAAAGTGTGAGTTCACTCTATTTAACGAATTTGAAAATTGCGCAATTTTTTCGTCTGCCATGTAGCGTTTCAATGGACAAAATGTAGTTCTTCGAATATATAAAAAACTGACAACTTTTTCTTGCTAAATTAAAGTTGATTTCATAATAAATGAAGACGCATCTCGCACCATAAGTTATCACTAATTAAACTGAATCGTGTCTGAAGACCTCTAAGATATCTATGGAAATTAATTCTTGAGCAAGTCCATTGTTTTGCGTGTTACGTAACATCATCCGTTCACGTTACGTAGCTGCAGCATCCGTTTTGCATCCGTCATGAGCCACTGCACGTTGTAGTCTTATTATAATTCACAAAGGGAGGTAAATTTCGGAGTTGTTATGGACTCTTGCTGGCGGTTGACGCTGATTCTTGGTTGAAGAAATATGATCATGAGAAGAAGTATGCTTGATAATAAATACACTTGAGGTCCGTTATATCCTGTGAACGTTTGGATCTGTTAGATTTAACGATGCTTCCGTCACAGAAATTAATGAAATGAGTTAATGAATTCGTATTTATCTCCATCCTAGACTTGGATGTATATTTTTCGTAGTGTCATGGTCGCTTCAGCTGAAGATTTGCGGTACGCGCTTATAGAAACGCCAATCAAGATGTTTGTGAAGCAGCTAACAAAAATTCTGATTCATTGCCGTATGAAATTTTGTGTAGAATCCATTGAAAGGTTTTAGTTCCCTTTGTTTGTGCAAGGTTGCGTCATTTGGTCTAAGATTTTGTGCGCAATGTGTAAAAATTGGGTCCCGTTTAGCAGGAAAATTGCGGAATTCCTTCTTGGAATCCAATTTGTGGCTTTGGTTTTCGAGACGAAGCGCGCGGGAGATTTTGGTTTTGATTCGTTGCTGAGCTGATATAGTTCATAGTGATATCAAGTTGTCGCATGTACTTAAGAATATTCTTTTAAAGCACAAGTGCCCCACAACGTCTAATTTACTAAAAAAATATCTTCAATTATGAATATTAATCTGCACATTAAATGAATTACATCCAACTATTTCTCTGTTCTTGGAAGCCACTGTATGTACCACCTACCTGTATAAGTAATAGCAACGTAACACAACATGTATGTTACTTTGGGTCGTACTGAACATGTACTCTGCTTGCTGCACGCAACCGGTTCTGCGTCGCTAGTTTCACTGTGTTCTTGCGCTCGAGTGAAGCTCGTCTAAATTATTAAATATGATCATGGAGTGAACATCCAACTACTTCTCTGTTCTTGGAAGCCACTGTATGTACCACCTACCTGTATAAGTAATAGCTACGTAACACAGCATGTATGTTACTTTAAATTATTAAATATGATCATGGAGTGAACCACGTATCCTGCCTACCGCCAGCGACAGATCTCCGGGGTTTGCCAACATGTGATGTTTATTTTTAATACAGGTTTATTTTCAATGTGATAAATAATTTTATGATGTAAATGTACTAAAGATGAGGTGTTTAATTCATCCTTCTCAAGAGAAATCAACGGAATTGTCTACCTAGTGATTGATATATGTCATATATCGAATCAATTTACTATTAAGACCTGCAATCAGTACACTCTTGTTGAAATAGTTCTGAAATATTAATTGTCGCAATTAGGACATTAACATCAATTAATTTTAGGATTGTGTGAGGCAGTGTTCTCAGATTCAATGTTGCTTACAGTATTTTCCTTTGTTTCGTTGAGTTATAGAAACGCGTTCAGTTGCTAGAACGCGCTAAAGCCTTGACATCTGCTCCTGTCGCGAGGACTATATCCGCCCGACTTCAGCTTTCGTTGCCGGTGAGAACCAGTTCTGGCATCGTTAGAATAACGTAGGATGTGTTTGCCAATGATTTTTGACGTCAAAAATTCCTCCACAAAGAAAATCGGGCCTAAACCCATGCCTCTTTCGACACGCTAGGTTTTTGAGTAATTCCAACTCANCCGCCCCTCTCATCAAACCTTAACTTAGGAAAACATGTGCCCAGCATAAATTGATCCGCCAATCCTGAAGCGCATCGCCCCAAAAGCTGAAATTGATATCCTTGAATTGAGACAAATGTAAACTGTCGATTCAGAAGAACACTGGTTCCAATTCGGAAAGTAAATTATTTACGAACCAACAATTTTTATTTTTATGGTGAATTGGTAATATTCAGCCTGCTTCAATTCATTTTTCCATTGAACCTTCAACAAGAACGAAACGGCCTGGTCATATTATCCGTTGTGCGTTTAATATTGACTGCAACAACAAATATAATCTGCCAGTCCATTACGAAAATTCGCATTTATAGTGGATAATAAAATTGCAATGGAACGCGTCCACAACATGTGTACAGTTACAAAAAATTATTCCTTATTCTTCACATTTCATGCATAATTATTAGTAGAAATCGGGAACTTAAGACGACGGGAGAATATTTCGAGCAATGTATTTTCATATAAATAGAAATCATATAAAAAAATTTCATATAAATAAAAATTTTCATCTTTTTGTATATAATAAAGCTCCTACTACCCAAAAACGAAACTCAAGAGCAACGAGAAATTCGAGAAGTTCCTAATTCTGACAGTAAATATTTCTTTTGCCAGCTAATGAAGCATTAATGCCGGCTGCAGATGGCCGTTGCAAGGGATCTCTACTCCAGCACGAACACAAAAGTTGCTGCAGCCAAGTTTCTACATGCAGATCTTCGCTGACTTGTGGGGTTAAACATTTTTCTCCAACTTCCTTCCTCAGTTGATAGACGCTCAAAGTATCGAACGGTTCCTCACCACATACGATTTCAAATACAACCAAAGATAGTGAATAAACATCTGCCGCCATCCATGCAGGAATGTTGAGCATTTCGCCTCGTAAGACTTCTGGTGCGCTGTATCGAGGAGTACCGATATGGCCACGAAATTCACTAGAAGATGATATTGACTCAGAATTATTCTTCATCATAGAAAGGCCAAAGTCGGTCAGCTTAGCAGTCAATGAATCGTCCATAGAAATTACGTCGAAGTCAATCATGACATTTTGGGATTTGATGTCACAGTGAGCAACGTCCTGCGAGTGGAGGTACTCAAGGCCGAGAGCGACATGACAAATCATCGAAAACTTTTGGGACTCGGAGAAACCAACTTCTTGCATATGCAAGGCTTCATGGAGACTCATTTTTAAGTACTCCATACAGATGCACAAGTTAGGCGAAACTACGCAAGCTCCAATAAACTTTACTATGTCGGGGTGATTCAATGCAGACAAAACTGTGACCTCTTCGTTGAATTTTCTTAGCATTTTTTTAGAGACGCGTTGGATGTGCAGTTTTTTGACGGCGATTATGGACCCTAAGTACTTGGCGATATAAACCTCACCAAAAGCTCCCTTACCAATGATACTGCGAAACTCAATGTCTTCGTACTTGATATTGTTTCCTATAAAATTCGTGATGATGCTTGTTGAGGTCCTGGGATCTTCATCGAGTTTTGAATCATTTTTCCATCTCTCGATTTCCTTAGCTTGATTGAATTTTTGCACTACTCGGTCGACAGCATAGTTTATTTCGTTTTCAGGCAAGATACCAGAAGACAGATCCAAGTCATCTTGGGGAGTATTCAGTAGATGTCGATAGAGGGATAGAAGTAACTTCGAAGTAGAAGTTTCCGAGTTTGCAAATCTTTCTCTCTGTGGACTCATCGTCCCGTGGTATATTTTCATGCGGTTAGCAATGTACTCATTCACATCAATGTCACGGAAACAAGATGAATTTGCAAAGATATTCGAAAACAAAAACACAGGCCCCAGTGGCTCGCGTACCCGACCTAAACGGCGATTACGTGTATTGTCAACATTGACACAGGTGCTAATCCCGTCAGAAGCTGCTTTTATACCTGTTGAACTATATTTACTAGCAGGACTTCGAGATGCAGACGGACATTTGATGGCTGAGTTACCAAAAAGGCTAGAACGACCAACATTCGTATTATAATGATTTTCGAGATATGTTAGTACTGAAGTCTTTGGACTTATGTTTTCGTTTGTAGCGGAATTATCTGTTGTGGGGCAAATTTTAACAACTTCCGGTCTTTCATTGCAAGTGTTACCAGTGGATTTTGACCCAGATGAGTTAGATGTGCTATTCACACTGGGACCGATGGAAACAATAGCAGAACCAAGTGATAGTCCTATTCTATCAGGAGTAGAGTAATTTGAGTTGTCAACAAAGTTTTTATTAATATCAAGTGAGTTGGCGTTCCCACCAGACGAGGACTCCAGATTCGAACTCAAGACAGGGGGAATAACAGCAGTACCAACTGCTATTCTAAAGCTTTCAGCAGGCCGATTAAACGATTTATTAACTATGGTTCCACCAGACTGACAATCACTTGCATGTGACGCTAACCCCAAATTTACACTGGCGCCAGAGGAAATAATGGGAGGAGAAGCTGGTAATCCAACTTTGTCGGCTGTTAAGCTTAGTGATTTATTGGCGTCCATTTTACTAGGTGATTTAGCGATCCCACGAGACGAGGACTCCAGGTTCGAACTTGAAACCGAGGGCATAATAGCAGAACCAACTGGCAATCTATCTTTTTTGGCAGTCCGGTTGAATAATTTATCAATGAAGGATCTACGAAATTGATTGGTGTTTCCAGATGACGATGGCCCGAAATTTCTACTGCTGCACCAGGAAATACTGGCAGAACCGAGTGGCAATTTAACTGTGTCGGCCGTTCGGTTAACTGAGTCATCATCGTACGTTTTACCAAATGACTTTGCGATCATTTGAGGCGCTAAGCCCAAATTCGAACTTGTGCTGGAAGAAATCACAGCAGAACAAACAGGTACTCCAACCTTTTCAGCCTTACAGCTAGATTTGCTATCTACGTAAGTTTTCTTAGAAGAGCCCACGTTCCTAGATGGCAAACCCAAATCAGCACTGGAACCAGAGTTAATCATGGTAGTACCAACTGACAATCCAACTTGGTCGGTTGGAACCGAGTTATCGTAGGTTTTACTAGATGAGCTTGCTTTTCCACGAGAATCTAACCCCAAATTGGAACTGGAGGAAATCACGCCGGAAGTAACTGGCCCTGCAACTTTTTGAATCGTACAGTTATGAGGGTTATCAATGCAAGTTTTCCTAGATAAGCTCGCGTTGTTCCCAGACGAAGCATTAGAAAAACTTGCCATGGTGCCAAAAGAAATAACGCCAGGAGCAACGGCCAACCCAACTTTTTCAGACTCGCGGCCGTAAGAATTATTAACATTGGTTCTTTTGGATGAACTGGCGTTTTTAAATGAACAATTAGAGGAAGTTGCTATGGTGCCCGAAGAAATAACGCCAGGAGCAACTGTCAATCCAACTTTTTCAGACTCGCTGTCGTAAGATTTATCAACGTTGGTTATTCTGGATGAACTGGCGTTGTTTTTATGTGAACAATTAGAGGAAGTTTTTATGGTGCTAGAGGAGATAACGCAGGGAGCAACCGCCAATGAAACTTTTTCAAACTTACGCTCGTGAGAATTATCGTGGACGTTGCTCTTTCCTAATGAGATCGCGTTGTTCTTGAATGAGGCGTTTGAAGAACTTGCCATTGTTCCAGAGGAAATGACGCCAGGAGCAACTGACCACCCAACATATCCAGCCTTACTGTTATGAGAGTAATCAATGAACGTTTTATTAGACGAACTCGCGTTCTTCCCAAATGAGGCACAAGAAGAACTTGCCAGGGGGCCAGAAGATATAAAGGCCAAACCAACTGCCGGTTTCACTTTTTCAGTCTTTCGGTTGCAAGAATTATCAATGCTAGGTCTACCACATGAACTCGCGTTCTTGCCAAATGAGGCACAAGAAGAACTTGCCATGATACCAGAGGATATAAATGCAGAACCAGCTGCCGGTTTCACTTTTTCAGTCTTTCGGTTGTATGAATTATCAATGCTTGTTCTACCATATGAACTCGCGTTCTTTCCAAATGAGGCACAAGAAGAACTTGCTATGGGGCCAGAGGATTTGAAGGCAGAACCAGCTGTCTGTCTCACTTTCTCAGTCTTTTGGTTGTAAGAATTATCAATGCCTGTTCTGCCACATGAACTCGCGTTCTTTCCAAATGAGGCGTAAGAAGAACTTGACTTGAAGCCAGAGGAAATAGATGCAGAACCCACTCGTCCAGCCATGCGTTTGGAGGCATGGTCAACATTCGCCCTGCGCATGTTTGCTGATAATTTAAACCGTGAGTACCTGTAAATTAAAGACGTATAAATTCATAAGGCTCTAGCAGGTAATGAAGTAATTTGATGATTTGTTTGTTTAAAACGAAAAAACATTCATAAAACAATAACTATGCACAAAATGTCATCAGTAGTTCCAAGCTTCAGCACTAAGTACTAACTGTTGTTAAAAGTTTGGCAAGGTCTGAAGAACTTGTAATATGGTTATTGTTTCGAAATTCTATGTGTACCTTGAAAGTTAATACTTCGCTTGAAAAGAACTCACTCCAATGGAAAGGAAGATAATTAATCCTATTAGAAACGAATACCTGAGCTCTAAAAATCCTTTCATGGTAATATTAAACAAATCCGTCTCATTTTAAGTTGAAACTGTTGTGTTGGAACGTCCACTGTGTTATGTTTCTGCTCTTGCTCTCATATCATAATAAAACTAATGTTCTCTACTCGGAGATCACAAAGAAAACAGTATATTTTACGATATTTTGTTCGCATTAGCAAGACTAAATTAGTTGTGACAATAAAAGTATCGATTCATGCTTAGCTTAGGCATCCAGAAAAATTAAGTTTTCGAGAAGTCATAGATGTTGTCCACCACCAATGACACATAAGTCGCTATTCAGCAACTACTGCACTCACATCGCCGCTCGTCAACAAAAACCTTATAATATTATTCAGAACAACTATTTGTGAGGTTTGATCAACACATAATAACCAAGTAACTGTTACAATCGCGCTAGAAATAGTTTTGGCTTAGTGGCTTATAGATTTCATCACAAAATAGATAGTTTATTTTGAGGGCCGGCGACATTAGTGCTGTGGCGACGTTAGGTTGCATTGGCGGTAGTTTCAGGACGCGGTACTCGGCAGTCTTGTCACATGAGCTCATGATCCGTTGTATGTTTCGCAACGACTTGCCGAATTGGCAATTCCAACACGTTACTTCCTTTTCATCGAACTTCAAGCCTCACCCAGATTATGTTTCAGGAGCCTTGAATTGCGACTCAATTATAAAGATAATGTCATACGGTAAATATACACGGAAATTGTAACTTTTGTAGAGTCTCGCTGTGATCTATCGGAAAATTTAAAAATTAATGTAGAAACAACTAGCTACGTGCAAATAGTATTCTGAAATAGTCCTATAATTATTCTCGTACAAAAGTAAATATCCGCCTGTCTAAAGATATTCAAATTCGTTGCATAGAAAAGCAATGAGTGGGAAAATTTCTATGACATGTTACATTAATTCGCAGTACGGTATGCGAATTGTTGTCGTGGCCTAAATACAACATTCACAACTACAATTTGGAATTGCAGGAAAACAATTTAGTTAAGAGATCGTAGGAAAGCCAGCATTTCATACAAAGAAGTATGCAGGTACTGTAAATTGAGGCGTAACAATACTTACTAACACGGCTTCATAGTTCATACTTACTCCCACAATCACCAGAGGAGACACCGTGAGACATAACCATCACCTAATGACCGATTCGACACTTCAGCGAACTCGCGTGCGAACTCGCCTGCGAGCTCGAACTTCATTTTCAACTCTGGCACGCATAACTCCTTCAATTATGAACGGATTTTATTCAAATTTGAAATATAAGTAGATAATATCAGTACGCTGCGGTGAGTATTTTTTTTGTCTCTTATACACATCTAGATGTGTATAAGAGACAGCTGCAGGGGCGACGGCTCTTCTAAGATAGCGAGACAGAGACGAGCGCTTCGGGGCAAGTCGCATACGGCGATGTCGAATGTTAAGGAACTATCGATGTTCACATCGTCATTCTTAACCTGCCGAGGATCCNCATGCTGAGATGTGCATATGACTAGATTGGCGTATGACTAGATGCACTCATGAATATATGTACAAAGGCTGTCTCTTATACACATCTAGATGTGTATAAGAGACAGCCGCATGACGATGCTGGTGCAGGCTTGGGGCACCGCATGATGATGCTGGTGCAGGCTTGGGGCACCGCAAGACGTAGAAGGTACAGGGTTGGGGTCATAACATAAATCTTTTAAATCAAATGCCCGAATGTAACATTCGGCACTGTGGACGCTTCGGACAAATTTTGTACTTTTTTGGAGCAAACGCGCTTTTTATTGGTTCATAAATCGGTACTTTCAACGCAAATTCTGTACAAACGAATTTCTAAGTGAGTGGGTTAAGCGTTACTATCCTTATAGCGGAGAAAAAAATTAGCGCTGACAAAAAATTGGGTTGAAAAAATTTGATTTATTTGAAAGATCCGAATTAAACAATAAGGAACTCTTTTCAACTTCATTGTCATATCAATCTAAGCATACCATAAAACATCAATTCTATTATATATTCTATTATATAGTCTAACTTATTTTCAGACTTTTATTTATTATAATCTGTAGTGAGAGACAATGAAATCAGTTGAAATTCCAGTAAGTTGCTATAGGCATATTAACTAACTTCCTCACATACTGAATCCTTTTAAATTAATTCACTATATGAGACGTGATCAGAAGTTATTGTGGAGAGACGACTTTAGTTCACTGCGCGCTGCGTACGCGTACCCAACCTGCCTTACTCAGTCTTTGTTAACCATGATTCAGTCTTTTTTAATTAGAAATTTACTCACTCAACAGCATATATGTTACATCCAGTTGATGAGATCGTAAATGAGTCACCTAGGCTAGTGCACCTTTTGTTGCCCAATTTTATAGCTTATATCATGTAATTTTTTAAAGGCAAAATTAAATGAAGGTCTGTGTCCATAAATATACTCAAATGAAAGGCAAAGCACTGCTTGGTGAACATTTGAAAAGAATTTTTACAATTGTTTTATATGTATATGTCGCTGCGTACCTTCGGAAGTTTTGTGGCTAATTTTGAAGGAAGTTTTTATGGTGACACAAGGATTCGGAAACGGAACCGTAAATTCAGAACCGATCTTAACGT